AACTTCTAATGTAACTATTTTGTAAAGGAATGTTAGTCTAAGCATAAGATCTGGACGCTTGGGTAAGTTTTTTCATACATTATTTATGCAAATTTAACCGCAAATTTTACAAATATATTTTTTTCTAAAACAGCAAACTCTGCTAGTCAACATATCACTACATATCAGTCAACATATTTCTGATCACTACATATCGGTACACTTGGTACAACGTCATCAACACATTCAATAAAAGAATCTCTATATAAGCGACTTGATTTCTTGAATTCAAGAACTAAGCCAGTTAACTGTAGTTTTCGGTTCTTTCCACTGTAATAATGAGAGGCCCGTATCCGGGTGGGGGAGGTGGTAATACAAGTTTCTAAATGTTTTGCTCTTTCTTCACTTATCCACCCTACACCCAAAGAAATTGGAGAAAGTAACAAATTTAATTTCAGGAGCAACGCCTTCAACCCCTGGAATTACCTTGATGGATGTTTCTATACGACAAACTGAATAGAGGTGAGGGAGCTGGATCTTTTAATCGACTTTTTTTACCCACCCGGTATGCACTTACATGTGAAAGAACCATAGAACCCGAACTTTAAAAAAATCAGTTTATTTAACTGATCATAGTCCAGAAGATTATACTTGTCAAAGAGGGAGCCAACAGTAAAGCTAATTCAAATGAACTCGAGAAACTTTTATTCAAATCATTACAGTTCAAAAGATCTTAACACTCATAGGAGGAGACGCCAGTAAGATTCCACCAAGTTAAAAAATCTTATCTAACTCATTACAGACCAGAATAATTTACCCCGCTAGAGAGGAAGTCACCAGTAGGACTAAACCAGGTTAACTGGATAACCGTTTAAAACAACAACAAAATTATCCAATTAAACTCCAGAAGGTTTCACTCGTTAATAAGGGTGATGTGTGTGTTGGGTGGGTGGGTGGGGGTGTACTACTAGTTAGGAATAGTCCAGATTGTTACTAGGGTGATGTGTGTTGGGGGGGGTACGGTACTAGTTAGGTAAGT